TTCTTAAGAAATTAAGTGATTTTTTTCATCTTAATGTATTTTTATGCAAGACTTTGCATTTTTATATAAAAATACACTGAAAAATGGTGCCGGATTTACTTTGAAATGATTTTCAGTCATAAATTGCTAGTAAATTTCACAAATAATTGCAAAGAAAAGGCAAGTAACACTGAATTAAACAGGAAATTTGTAAGTAGAAACTGCAATATAATCTACATAAAATATAATTTTATAAATAAAAAAAACTAACACTTGCTTTCTAATCTTTTTGTATTATATCTGTTTTCTTTACATTTATTATACAATTAACAAAAGCAAAAAAGACCTCTAACACTAGCTTGCTCTATTCTTTTTCTATTCTATCCGTTTTCTTTTTATTTATTATATTATTTAAAAAAAACTTGCTATGTGTACTGCGTTAAGCTAACTGAGACTTGTTATAGCAGTTGTATATCATTGCTCTTTTGTTGATTTTGATCTGCTAAATGACTAAATGTAAATAATTTAATATACAAAATATATATAATAACCTCAATATATTAAATTAAGAAAAGAAAAAAAGACAAAGTAAAAACTTACCAAGGATCATTTTTGAACTTTCTGCTCCCTGGATGGGTTTGACTGTCAACCAAGTACTGAGGACCTCAGATGGTACTGTCAGCAGATTATTGCTGGATAAATCCAGGTAGGTTACATTTTTCATGTAGGGAGCAGCCTCAGATGGTACGGAGGACAGCTGGTTGTTGTGTACATCGAGTAGCCTCAGACTGGGCATGTCCATAAGGGATTCCCACGGAAACGAAGTGAGCGAATTTCCATCGAGCCTTAGTTCCTCTAAACTGTACAAGCCCCGGAAACTGTCCGAGTTGAGAGAGGATAAAACATTAAAAGACATCCAAAGGAATTCTAAGTTAGAGAGGTAGCTAAAAGCCTCGCTCGGGATCCTCTTAATGGCAGTCTTTTCAATCCGAAGTTTCGAGGTGTCGCCTGGGAACGTGGCGGGCACCAGGGAAATCTCGGGATCGTTACAAATCACGCTCCTGCAAAACGCATTAGAAACAAAAATAAAGAGTGATAAGCAGGGATTTGAAAGCTTGCGCACACGGATCTTTAAAACCAGTGGTATTTGACTGATGCTACAAATGCTTGTAAAACATCAGAAATGTTGAACGTTAGTCATTATTGGTCAAAATGTACACATATTGCGCAATGACAATGGAAGTTCTTGTTTTCTTGATTTAATTGTCTGAAAAATTAAACTGAATTTAAATTGCCATATTTGAAAACTCTAAGAAATACTCAAATAAATTAATACATACGTACATATATTTTGTATGTAAATATCCTCAACTGTATTACACACAGTATGTAATGTATAAAATATAGCCAGAGTGTGGAATGCGCAAAAACCATATGGTTGGGGGTGCATTGCATGAATTAAATACAGTTGAGATAATAAAATACAGACTCACCTGGCTCTTGATCCATCACTCAGGTTATGATAAAAGCAGCTGCATTGGGAAGGACAGGTGCTCCGAACAAGTGGAAAGCCACCAGATGCCAGTAGGAAACCCAAAAAGACAGTAAGAGACATATCGCTACTAGTGTCAACAAAACACCGCTGACCGTAATTTTAATGAAGGACCATCCACTTGCAATTATGGGGAAAATAACCAGCATGTAATCGTCGCTCTGCTCCGATGTCCCATAGTGATCTGACTGCTACGAGTCCAGCAGATAAAAAGGACAGATGAGGATTAGCGAAGGCATGCGCGTTATTTTCATTTAGATGCGGATGCATCTTGGAATCTGATAGGCTACACAGAGATACAGCTGTTAATTATAGGGAGAAAATATTTCTGAATTGGCCATAATGTTGAATACCCATCCCCCATCTACTTCTAATCTTCTACCTGACAGCTAAACTATGAAATTTGTTGCATCACTTAGATTGCGTAAGAGCTGATGATATTTTAGAAGCTGGCCAATTCTGGCTGTACCAGTCACTATCGCCTATGTATTTTTTTGCACTGAACATAGGGGAGACCAGGGAATGTTGAAAGATTTTGTTTCAATATCTGTTGGGGTAAAAAAAAAACATGATTTATTTCTCTGTTGTAAATAGCATTTCCATATTTGCCTGCTTCAAAATTAGTTTATCGATTACTTATCCCTGTAATAATTAATGTGCAAAGTATCATCAGCATGAGAGTTGTCTCTCACACTAAGGACGTTAAACTTTGTGCACAGTGTTTAGTGGCTTGTCCGATAGGATTTTTATCCCTCTGGTGCTGTTCGGTCATTTTAGACCGGAATTATCTTTTTTATTATTATTATTACTATAATCGCTAGGCCTACTTCATCGGAATGGTGCGAAACTTGATTACTTTTATGGCAGTCGCTATGTGACCAAAAATAAATAAATTCATGGATTAGAAAAATTTAAATGGTCATAAAAAAAGTCACACTTGTGTTTTTGACCGTCAATGGGAAATACGCAAAAATACGAAAATACAGATAATTTTTTAATAATATCAAGTGCAAAATGTTGAAACCGACATTTCAAACTAAAAAATCGAAACCTTTACAAAAAGTTGTCTTTGAGAATGTCTAAATATATATCTAAATCCACAACTTATTTTTTATTAAGTATTTATGTCAACAACTACAGAATTAATAAACCTTTTACATAGAGCTTTATGAATCTAGCGGATAAACCATGGAATTGCAGAAGTTTTTCTTTTTTTTACTCCCACCAGATGGAACTAATCTGCCTTCAGAAATTGGATTTGTATTTATTATTTTTAGACAGGTGGATCTCTATTTTAACATGAAATACTGCCAATTGAAAAGTAATATAAAAATATTAGGGGAAAAAGTATTATTTTCAATGGGAAAAACTGATCATAATTATTGCATAAATATTAATTACTATAATGAAATTCTCTCAAAATACAAAAGAAAAAAATATTATTGAACAAAAATATATTGCATTGATTTTACTGAAAATGAGCAATACCAGAGAGTTAAAACATTTTCCTTCATGTAATCCTGTTAGACCTTGGCTGACAGGTAGCTTGCTTTTCCTAATAGCCTGTTGTTAGGGTTTGTAAATACAACTATTTTTAATAGACAGAAATAAGCCAATGCAAGAATAAATAATATGAATAATATAAATTGAAAATATCTTAACATCATGAGCTCAAAACAATGAATAAGAACAGTGCAAGAAATATGATCATAAATATTTCAAAATCTTTCTTGAGTTTCTAGAATAAGGGCCAAATTCAGAGGAGTTAAAACTTTCCACACACTTTGTTTCTAAAAGATTTATATGTAAATCCTTCCTTGGTATAAAACTGGTATGGCGTGTATGTTTAATGAGACTGTTTTCATGTAACTGTTGTACCACTACCACAAGAGTTATTTTTGCCTGAAGCCTATTTGTTTATGCTACTGTAGGTTTGTAAACACAACATGGGTTGAACCTTGGAGCCAGGCCATGTTGTAAATATAAAACAGAATTTCTCAACTCAGTAAATACTTACAACTGCAGTGAGCTCAGTACCATGTACATTTGTTTTGTTACATTCATGTCAGGGAGCTAATCTAATTTGCACTAGCCAAACCAAATTCATATTTTACTTTACAGTAGTATGTGGAAATTTGAGTGGGAAAAATGGTCATATAATTGTAAATTATATTTCCCAGGTTTCATTAACCTCATAATCTTTACTGAGGTACTTGCCTGAACAATATGGGTCTTGTTTAGGACAAGTATGGTATGATGATTAGCGCCGATTTTGAATTTTGTCATTTCATATGTGTTACGGGGCTGACGAGACGTGAGACGTGCGGATCCATCTGCAAGGCTTTATTGTGGAGAAGACAGAGACGTGGTCATGAAGCAGGCAGGGTCAAACAGGTATATGGTGGGCAAGACACAAGAACAGTCCTAGGGCTAGCGTGGGTCGACGATGGGCAGACAGAGTCAGAAGGGGCAAGACTAAGGGAGAAATCCAGGAAACCAGGCGAAGATCAGAAACCGGGAAAACAGCTAGGCTAGGGCTAAGGCTAAGGCTAAGGCTAGGGCTAAGGCTAATGACTAAGGCAAATGACTAGGGCTAAGGCTAAGGCAATGACAAGGGCTCCGTAAGGTAGCTATCTCTAGGAGAGTGATAAACGCTGAAACAATACTCGGCAGAGGGAAGGGATCAGAGTGAGTGTTAAATAGTGAGGGAGTGATATGAAACAGCTGGGTGCAATCAGTGTAAACAGGTGTGTGCAATTCGTGCTGAGTGCAATGCATGATGGGAAATGTAGTCCGGGGTGATGTGCAACAGTGTGTAGTGCGAGAGTCAATGAATTGGAAAGTTCATGGACCGGATTCGTGACAATATGTTTCACTCAGAAATTATGCATTGTAAGAATAAGGCCCTGTATGTTGAAATACACAGGACTTCTTGTGATAAAAGACTAATGATTGTAGATTTGTAAAACAAAAAATAGGTTAGTGTATCAGTGTTACTTTTTGTAACTTATTTGGCTTTCACTCAAATATGAATAATGCAATCAGGAAACAAAGGGGCTTTTAATAAGCACTTCAGATTGGCTATTTTGTCTAAAAAATATTCTAAATGTTTCTATTTCAGCACCGAACACAGCTTATGATCATGATTGTAAAGGCTTAATGTTGTAAGTGTCCCTAAATTATTTCTCAGAACAACAACTAATCTATTTGTGAACACATTGACATTTTCTCTCTCTATTTTGTTTGAAGATCTATTCATTATTGAGTAATTTTCTCCAAACCACAATGTCTCCTACAATTGAGAAAGGTGATTGTAAATGGACAGTTTCTCTAATCATCCCTATGCAAACCGTCTGGTATACAATGTGCGTTAGTGTAATGAGTGACAGCTCGACAACACCTGTTGTGCAGCCAGCAAACAGAACACGACACACTGGATTGGCACAGACTGGACTGGTTCTCATCCACCCCGGTCTTATTATCAGAGCGCTCAAGCATCCGTCACACAAAGGCTTGTTGTGTAACTGAATGAGCGCTTTACAGTCGCCCTGTGTAAATGCGTGTTAGGGGGTCAATGGTAGGGGTTGTTATATTCATTATGACATTCTTGTGCGGATTGAGGCAGAGGGCGAGGGCTTTACATAATTACGTTAATGCTTTTTCACGTGAAATACTCCTTTAAAAGAAGGCTTGGATCTAACACACTGAGGCACATCGCGCGCGCGAGCGGATTGTGATTCTGCACAATTTGGTACCAAAATTGCGTTCAAAATGGTGACGTCGTATCCACTACCGGAGGGGTTCTCCGAGTTGGATGTGTTCTCCCTGGGATCTTGTCTGCTCGTGGAGGGTAAGAGTCGTGTTCAGGTTAAAAATAATAATAATTATTATAATAAGAGGATCGCCTGCACATCTTTGTGGATATGCACAGCCTCTATAGGATGAGCTTTATCCAGGAACGATAGCGTAACGTTTGAATAAAGCGGTGATTTAACTATCTATCTGAAGACTGTCACTGCTATGTTACTGTTGTGTAACCGCGCTGTTTTGGGGTCTCGAGAAGGCTCTGAATGTTCACACGTTTTCTGTGTCCTCTGAAGGTCTTCTCGGGTTCTTCCTGAATGCTGTCACCGTTGTTGCTTTTCTTAAAATAAGAGAATTGCGGACCCCAAGTAATTTTCTCGTGTTCGGTCTGGCCATGGCAGATATGGGTATTTCTATGAACGCCACCGTCGCTGCTTTCTCCAGTTTTCTGAGGTGAGCACGCGCAAGTCTGTGTTGATGTTGGTGTTGTTGTTGACGGACCCCCTAGAGGTGATGCTGCTTCAGGGATGTAGTAGTATGTGAATACAGCTGGGATGTAATGCTGCTGAAGAGGGGTCTTTTTTCATAATGAATGACTAAAGTGCAGCTGTTGGGGTTGCAGGATTTTATAAAAAAATTTAGTCTTTTAATCACATCCCAGCTAAAATAAAAAATAGCATAATCCAGCCTGGTTGAAAAGGTCAAATATTTAAGATAGAGGAAACAAGTTAGAAAAATGTCATTGAGAAAAATACATTACACATCACAATTAATGTAATACTATTATTACAGATAAACAACATAAGCAATGCTAAACATCAACCAGCAAACTTTGATATTTTTTAATACTTTATCTTCTTGAAACTCCAGATACTGGCCTTACGGATCAGACGGATGCCAGACCCATGGCTTCCAGGGCTTTATGACTGCTCTCGCCAGCATCCATTTTATTGCAGCCATTGCTTGGGACAGATACCACCAGTACTGCACAAGTGAGTAACAGAGAAGTAAAAGAAAGAATAAGATGCTTCTCACCACTTCAGTAGGATATTTGACATGCTTTGTTATAGTTCAACCCACCTATTTTGCCAAGACCACCTGCTGAAGGCACTTATAATGCACATATGCTTCACCAAAGGCCATTCTTTTCAGAATCTCAGTGAATGGCCATTTTAAACTAGTTTGTGAACACAGAGCAACTCAGGTCTGGTATGTTGTGGTGTGTAAATGTAAATTCTGTAACAAAAACAACAACAACAAAAGCAACATACACAACCATTCAAAACTTTGACCCAAAAGATTTTTTTTTAAAGAAATGAATACTTTTATTCAGCAAATATTTTTGAGCACCATATCAGAATATTACACTTTTAAAAATAAACGTTTCAAAAGTAGGAGACATTTGTAAAGATTCCATGTAAGAACTACGAGAACGACCTTTCCGTGAACAGTTCTTAAAATAACAATTTTTTCTTAGTATGAAGAACATTTTTATAACCAAAAGGACCTTTTTCTACTATAAAGAACCATGTTAAAGGTTCTTTATGAAACTAGATGCTATTAAAGAATCTTTGTTTTTAGGAGTGTAGAATGATTAAAGGATGTGACACTGAAGATTGAATTAATGGCTGCTTAAAAATCAGCTTTGCTATCACAGGAATAAATCACATTTTAAAATATATATAAAAAACAGTTATTTTAAATTGTATTAATATTGAACAATATTCATGTTTTTACTTTATTTTTGATCAAATAAATTCAGCCTTGGTGAGCATAAGAGCATGCGCATGAATGTCTAAAGATTGTAAGCTAATAATTAGCTGTAAATGCTGTTATGAGATACCAGCACCACTGTTGTGTTATTAAAAAAATCGCTTGCATGCCTCAAACCTTTGAACAGTAGCTGAGTAACTGAATTTTAAATAATGTTTAGGTTTATAAATTAAAACTATTTAGTAAACAGTATAACTTTTATTATTGTAGTAATACCATGTGTTATTAGGGACAAAGTTGCAGTGGAGCAGTGCCATCACCCTGGTTATCTTCATCTGGCTCTTTACTGCCTTCTGGGCCGCCATGCCTCTGATTGGCTGGGGAGAGTATGACTACGAGCCCCTGAGGACCTGCTGCACATTGGACTACAGCAAGGGTGACAGGTAAGATAAACAGTTAATTATTACATTCATAATTCACATCATTTTGTATGATTATAACATAAAACACTGCTCACCAGTGTCAGTTTCACATTTTGACCCATATATTCAAATATGCGTGCTGACCCATATTTACAAACATAAAAAGCAATATTAGGGTCATGGAGAGGTCACATGACTCTCATTTCCTTGTAAATATGTTCACTGTGAAATAAGACCTATAATGAAATTGTGTCTATCCTTTTACACAGGAACTATGTGTCTTACTTGATCCCCATGTCTATCTTCAACATGGGCATTCAGATGTTTGTTGTGCTGTCTTCCTATCAGTCCATTGATAAGAAATTCAAGAAGACTGGCCAAACCAAGGTAAAGTATCCCCTGTACCATATTAGAATTTGACATGTGAGACCAAAGGGTGCATGAAAAGAACACAGTATACATTTGCCTCACATTGCATAAGACTGTTATTCACAGGGTTTGAGTAGGTCAAATAAACGTTTTGCCTGGGAGCACAAAGGCGTCTCTGCAAAAGCTACTGAACTATTCTCCAGGACAGAACTATTATGTAACACTAAAAAATTGCATGCACACCAATACCAAAGTGATAGAAAAGGAAGGGAATTTTCTTACAGACAGTTAAGCCACAGAACAGGGTTATTATCCTTAACTGAAACGAAAACTATTATATACATTTTGTTAAATGGAATAAAGCTGAAATATAATAATAATAATAATAATAATAATAATGACAATTGTTTCATTCTATCAACAAACTACTCAAGTGTAACATTTATTCAAATGTTTCTGCTTCAACTCACATGTTTCTTATTTTCTTCAGTTCCAAGATTGATCACACTTGTAATTGTATTATCTCTACTTTTCCTTCGTCTGTTTTTCCTTTAACCATTTCTGAATTTTCTGGTACTCCTTTCTCAAACTTTTCCACATTGGATTTAATTCTCTTTCCAATGAGGTTTCAAAAATGAAAGCTGCCACTTCCATAGTTGATCCTATACCAATCATGTTTCAATCATGTTTTGCCACTTTATGTACTGCTGTATTAAGTATCATAAATGATTCTCTGTGTACTGGTGTAGCGCCATCAGCATTTAAAATTGCTGCTGTGACCCCTGTTCCAAAATAAAAAAAGAACTTTGACAATCTTAATAATTTCCATCCCATTTCCGATCTCCCCTTTCTTTGCAAAAAATGCAATTGCATTCCCATCTTACAGCAAACAATCTAAAAAATGTTTGAGCCCCTTCAATCGGGCTTCCGTAACTCCACAGTACTGAAACAGCATTAGTTAAGGTCACTAATGATTTGTTAATTGCTTCTGATTCTGGCTATCTTTCTATTTTGATTCTTCTTGATCTCAATGCCGCTTTCGACACTGTTGATCATTCAATTTTACTTACTCGTTTAGAGTTTAGTCTTTGGTGTTTCTGGGACTGCACTAAGCTGGTTTGAGTCTTATCTTTCAGAACAAAAGGAGTTTATTGCTCTGGGTGGTTGCAGGACTGATATCGGTCTGGTGCAATCTGATGTTCCTCAAGGATCAATTTTGGGCCCTTTACTTTTTTAGCATCTACATTTATCCATTTGGTCAACTTTTAAGATCATTTGGTCTCAACTTTCACTTTTATGCAGATGACACTCAGGTTATTCAAAACCAGATGTCTTTTTTTTCTCAGTGTATTTCTGAGATTAAAAAGTGGATGTCTAGGAATTTTCTGTCAAAACTGTGACAAGACGGAAGTAATGCTCATTGGTTCACCCCAACAGCTATGGAAGGCTGGGTCTTTAACTTTAAGTATAGATGGCTCTACACTGGAATTTCAAACAAAATAAAAAAAAAATTGGGGGCGATATTTGATGCTCATTTACCATTTGTTCCCCATGTTCAGAACACTGTCAAGACATCATTTTTTCATCTTAGAAATTTAGCCAGATTGCGTCCTATGCTGCCATTCCCGGTGACTGAAAAGTTAATAAACATCTTTGTATTTTCTCGCATTGATTATTGCTTTGCTGGCCGGGGTTTCAAAAGCTACCATAAATAAATTACATCTGGTTCAAAATTCAGCCGCTCGAATCCTGTCTGTAAACAGGACAAGGGATCCTTTACACTTACAATTCTCATGCTTACTTATAAGGCTTTGCATGGTTTGGCTCCCCATTATCTCTATGAGCTTTTAGTCCCCTACACACCAGTGCGTGATCTCCGCTCCTCGGAAGCTGGCCTTTTAATTGTTCCACTTATTTAAAATCAATGGGTAATAGGGCGTTTTCTTCAATCGCTCCAAAACTTTGAAATTCTTTGCCTGCTGAGATTAGGCAAGCAGAATCCCTTAGTCTTTTAAAATGTTCCCGTAAAGCTTATTTTTTAGGGTAGCTTTTACTTGATTTTGTCATTATCAAATTTCTCTTTTTACTTGTTGAACTTTTGATAGCATGCTCTTCTCTGGTATTCTTATTTTTGTATCTCATTTTCTTTCTCATTGATATTTTTTGTATAGTTGTATGTTTTATTTAATTTTATTCTTGTGAAGTCCTTTGCAATGCTACTTTTTTAAGGCACTATAGAAAATAAAGTTTATTATTATTATTATTATACTAGCACAGAATCGCTTTAAGTTTTTTTCCCCGAGTAGTACACATAAAAGAACTACTGAACTGTATTACAGCCTATAGTATGTAGGTCATTTCATTACGTCTTTGTTGAGCCTTCATGCCTAATTGAGCTTATTACGCTTGTTTTAATGAACTCTTTCTTTTGTGTTTACTTGTTCACTCATCAGAACAGTAGAATGTTTAATGGTATATATGTTACATCAAAGTTAAATCTGCAGCATGTGACTTAGAAATCCAACTAAGTCTAAATCTCCTGCTTGCTCTCTATGTGCAGTTCAACTGTGGCACTCCTCTGAAGACCATGCTGTTTTGCTGGGGCCCCTATGGCATCCTGGCTTACTATGCTGCTGTGAAGAATGCAACCCTTGTCTCTCCTAAACTGAGAATGGTGAGGAAATCATATTTGAAGCACAGCACACACCCAAAGAAGATAGTTCATCCCAAAATGAATCATTTACTTACCTTTATGTCTGTAGAACACAATAAGAATATATTGTAAGGTTAAGTCATATAGGTTTTGGAATTACTATAATGACAGATTACCAGTAAACTTCACATAAAAACACTACCATTCAGTCAGTCATTTTTTCTTTCTTTCTTTTTTTGAATAAATTAATTAAATGAATAGCAGCACAAGTTTTGTTTCTTGAGCAGCAAATCAGCATATTAGAATGATTTCTAAAGGATCATGTGACACTGAAGACTGGAGTAATGGCTTCTAAAAATTCAGCTTTGCCATTACAGGAATAAATAAAAATTTTCAATATATTCAAAGAGAAACCAGATATTTTAAATTGTAATGATTGTATTATTTTTACTGGGTTTTTGATCAAATAAATGTAGAGATTGTAGTGTAAACACAGGAACTGATAAATAATATTTCTGTTAAACTATTTAACTATTCAATGATGTGTGCATAAAATGAATCTGTTCTGAACGTATTCTTACAGATCGCACCCATTTTGGCTAAGACATCTCCTACTTTCAACGTCTTTGTTTACTCCCTTGGAAATGAGAACTACAGAGGAGGAATCTGGCAGTTGCTCACTGGCCAAAAGATTGAGACTTCTGCTATAGAGAACAAGTCCAAATAAACTAAGAATGTGATAACAGTTAATGTCCTGGTAGTTTCTAACATGTATGACACTTGCTTATTGGCATTGTGTGCTTACAGTGGGTATAGAGAAGAATCACCCCTCTTTAAAATAATCACATTTTGTTGCTTTGGAGCCTGAAATGAAGACGGACACAGTTTATGTTATATCCAGCTGTATTTACTCATTGCAACTTATAACATCCGAGTGGAAGATATAACACCAACATGTCAGAAAAAAAAATAAAAAAACAGAATCACTGAGATGGAAAAAGAATCACCCCTTGCGTCAGTATTTTGTTAAACCACTTTTGCTTTAATTACACCCTTTAGTCTGTTGGGATACATGTCTACTAAATTTGCACATCTGGACTTTGCAATATTTGCCCACTCTTCTTTGCAGAACTGCTCAAGTTCAGTTCAATTTGAGGGTTGACCATCTGTGGACTGCAGTCTTCCAGTCATTCCACAGATTTTCAGTGGGGTTTAAGTCTGTGCTCTGACTAGGCCATGCAAGGACATTCACCTTTTTCTCCTTTAACCACTGTGTGCTCCGTTTTGCTGTGTGCTTTGGGTCATTGTCATGTTGGAAGGTAAACCTTCTTCCCATTGACAACTTTCTAGCAGAGGGCAGCAGATTTTCCTCAAGAATTTGATGGTATTTTGCCCCATCCATTTTCCCTTCTATCCTGACAAGTGCTTCAGTCCCTGCTGCAGAGAAACAACCCCATAACAAGATATTAGCACCTCCATGCTTTACTGGAGGAATGCTGTTATTTGGATGGTGAGCTGTATTGGATTTCTGCCAGACATATTGATTGGTGTTGAGGCCAAATAATAAAATTTTAGTCTCATCTGCCACAAAATCTTCAAGGTGCATTTTGGCAAAGCTCAGTCGTGACTGCATGTGGCCTTTCTTGAGGAGTAGCTTTTTTCTTGCAACCCTCTCATACAAGCCACATTTGTGGAGAATTTGTGATATTGTTGTCACATGCACACAGTGACCACTCTTTGTCATAAACTCCTGCAACTGCTTCAGGATTGCTGTAGGCCTCTTGTTAGCCTCTCTGACCAGTTTCCTCCTGGCTCTTTCATCCAGTGAGGGTCTGTGCTGTACCAAATACCTTCCACTTTATAATAATAAACTTCACTGTGATTCTAGGCATTGATAAAGCCTTTGAATTTTTTTTTGTATCTATCTCCTGACTTGTGCCTGTCCACAACTTTATCCCAGAGAGCTTTTGACAGTGCCTTGCCACCCATAGTTGATTGTTTGCTTCAGTTGCACTACCAAGGACTGAAATGCTCCCGGAAAGCTCTTTTCATGCTGGGCTCATCAAAATGACCACAGCTGATCACAGTTGAAAATCAAATGGATTTGTGTGCCATTGAGTACGTGATTAGCTACACCTGATTTACAAGTCATTTATAGGAGGGAGGGGGGATCCTTTTTCCAACTCAGTGATTCTGTTTGTTTTTTCTTTTACTTGGATGTTATAAGTTGCTTAAGTAAATACAGCTGGATAAAACAAAAACTTCTTTTCAGGCTGCAAAGCAGCAAAATTTTATTATTTTAAAGGGGGGTGATTCTTTTCTATACCTACTGTATGTCATCCTTGCTATATTTTTGTAGAGTGTTTGTGGACATTAGTGTGGAGTCTGTGTTTGTGGTAGTTTGGTTTTTAATATTTAATATAGAAGATTTCAGCAAGTAATACCATTTCTAAACTAATATTTTGATAAAGCACATAAGCTGTTCCTAATGGAAATGTTACAGAACAGGGTCTAATTTTATCCCTATCATCGCAAAGCACATTCAAGAAGAGAATTTGTGGCCATCAATTAATAATGGTTAAGCTGCTTCCATATATACAGTTCTGAAAGGAACCACAATCAGGAACAATATAACCTATTTTTGTGGGTGAACTTTCAAGATATTTTATTGCATATAAGTGCTGTTACACTGTACATCAAAACTGGATTTTAAAGGTGCAATAGGTGATTGTCTTCAGAAACATTTTTTGTTATGCTGGTTGAAAGTCTCTTCACATCCCTATAGCAATCATTAAGTTAAGTGGTCTAAATGTATTTATCTGTATTTATATAATCTGTGGAAGGCGTAGGACCAAGAAATGTTCATCCAATCAAAACGCTCGGTCCGAGCGTTTTAATTGGCTTTCCTACCTGCCTGTCAACATATGTATTAGCATACCTCTGCGCACCCGGTTCGCGCAGACATGATATGTTATCAGCACGTTCACGCATGCTGTGCAGACAGAGCAAGAATGGCAGACAAACATCAACAACCCGATCTTCCTTCATGGTATTGTAGTACTTTTACTAACTGTACTATAAAGTTTTCTCACCGGTGAATGACACATGATGTAGCCCAGCAGTTCCCAATTCCAGTCCTCTTGCAGGGGAAGCAGGGGAAATCCGCTGAAGTTTACTTCACTTCTGAACATTCATTCACGGATTTGCGCTACGCAGCGTCTTCACACACAGATGAAACTTACTAGAGAAGTGTGACATAATATACCTCTGTAAATAAATACTATTTAAATTCACATCTCGCACACTTTAATGCCCTTTGTATGGAACATATTCGCTCACTTCGAACTGGAATCATGGCAGAATATCCGGTGATGTACACTTCCCAGGGCACTTACGGTCGAATAGAACAAACGTCGCACGTGATAAGAGATACATATGAAATGTGCAGAGCAGGAGGGCGTGAGGACTGGAATTGGGAACCGCTGATGTAGCCTATTGTAATGTTGTCTCTGGTATTCTGGTCTGTCAGCGTATATGCTTTCAGGGGGAGTGGCTTTGGACGGCGATTGCAGGGAGGGTGGGACGTTCGTTTTCAGTGCTATCAGGCTAAAGTTAGCATTTTCCAAGATCTCCTACTGCACCTTTAAATGTCACAGTTAGTGAAAATGTGGCTGCTACAAAAAATTAACATTAATTTACTGCTAGCTTTAAGAGTGCAATACTTTTTACCATCTCTACAGTATATTAATTTATTTCATGTTAACCAGAATGTACAGTTTGGCACACCCAGGAAATAAAGTGTACTTTATTTTCCACATAGGGAAATCATTTGCTATGAGATAAAGGTCTACATCAAGGTTATGAGACAGAATTAGGCAAGCAACATTTCCTAATCCCAGAAACAACGGTGCTTTTCATGAAAACACATTCCCCAGTGCACAAGATTAGTCAAAAGGACTCACTGCGACTGAAAATGTTCAGACAGGTGATCTCATTTTCCCTCTGCAGATTCTGTCTCCATTTCAACATGAATCATTCTGGCATCTGAAAAATTATAAATTAATGCCAAAGCATTTTTATGTTGGTATTTTTTACACTGTAAGGAAAAAAACATTTTGATCTCCTACTGCACCTTTAAATGTCACAGTTAGTGAAAATGTGGCTGCTACAAAAAAATTAACATTAATTTACTGCTAGCTTTAAGAGTGCAATACTTTTTACCATCTCTACAGTATATTAATTTATTTCATGTTAACCAGAATGTACAGTTTGGCACACCCAGGAAATAAAGTGTACTTTATTTTCCACATAGGGAAATCATTTGCTATGAGATAAAGGTCTACATCAAGGTTATGAGACAGAATTAGGCAAGCAACATTTCCTAATCCCAGAAACAACGGTGCTTTTCATGAAAACACATTCCCCAGTGCACAAGATTAGTCAAAAGGACTCACTGCGACTGAAAATGTTCAGACAGGTGATCTCATTTTCCCTCTGCAGATTCTGTCTCCATTTCAACATGAATCATTCTGGCATCTGAAAAATAATAAATTAATGCCAAAGCATTTTTATGTTGGTATTTTTTACACTGTAAGGAAAAAAACATTTAGTCAGGTAACATAAAAATGTGTTTCATGTTTTAATTAAAAGTATTACAAATATTTGTAGTTTCACTTTTTAAAGTGTGTATAACAGAAATATCATTACTACATACGTAGATGCCAATGTTCCGTAAAGAGGCTGAATATCACAAGCCAAAGTAGCATATAATGCCAAGTAATTTTGCAAGAAATAGCATAAAACATGCATATTTTAGCTCAAGAGTGTTTACTTTAGAATTTCAGAAATTAATCCAGAATTTGGAGAATTTTATAACAGACTACAATGCATACAAATACAAATGGACAAAAGGTCACCCTTTTTACACATTTGTACTAAAAAACAAGTACTTAATACTTAATTAACATCTTCACAAATACACAATAAAAAAATATATAATATGCTGAGTTGCTGACATAATGAAATGAAGTTAACTATTGTGTCTTAGTGGATAGATAGAAGTAGAATAGATAGATAGAAATAAACAGATAGAATACAGAGAAAATATATAAATTACATTTTCAGAAATGCCTGACAATATACAGTAGCATCAACAACTATTAAACATAAGGATGCATATGAAAGATACACTTTTCAGTACCACAATGTTTGTGTTTGCGACATGCTAATGGACAAATGATAGATGTGTACAACTGTGTAGCCTGACACATAATGTCTCTGCAGTGGTTCATGTATCACTTGTCATGCTGGAATCTGATTAGTCTTTAAAAGCTCTTGTGTCCACTTTAAGCTTGCCTTCCTCAAGTGCACTTCCATTGACCTGTGAATGATGTTCAGTGGATGTCTTGTCAGCAACAACATCTGATTTGTGAATCTTAGCCAAGATGCACAACAGTGAAATAAACATTGGTGGCTACTTTATGTCTTAACTGAGTTCTCTGGACCAGTCTTTAGGGAACTGGAGAACTGCGAAGATGTTCATTTCCAAACTTCCCAAAAAGCAAATCTTACACTGGTCAGCATCTTTATGCATTTTTTTAAATTCAATTATTTTCACATTTGTACTTTAAAGTAAATTACTCCATTTTCCCAAGATTGATATGGATCAGCTTACTTCACTTTTTCTTAATTTGTATTTATATGGTCCCATTAGTGTATTTTTTCTTTCTTTCTTTGAGGTCACAAATCACTGCTGACATAAGAGATGGCTTTAGCTTCTGCATATATTGATATTTATATTACATTACTAACATATGCCTGCTTATTTCTAATATTTTAAAGATCCTGCATTCAGAAATCCAGACAACAACTCAAACTGA